TCTGTCACCTAGGCTGAAGGGCAGTGGCATGATCTCGGCTCACTGTAACCTCCACATCCCCAGGTTCAAATGATTCTCCTACCTCAGCCTGCTGGGTAGCTGGGATTACAGGTGTGCACACCACACCCAGCTAATTTTGTTTGTTTGTTTGTTTGTTTGTTTGTTTTGTATTTTTAGTAGGGACAGGGTTTCACCATGTTGGCCAGGCTGGTCTTGAACTCCTGACCTCAAGCGATCCACCCACCTCGACCTCCCAAAATGCTGGGATTATAGGCATGAGCCACCACACCCGACCCTCTTTACTCTTTAAATGACCTTTGATAAGCATTTTGAAGATAGTCTTATTTTGTCCAGCTCACTATTTTCAGGTGAATGCCTTTCTAACTTCTCTGAACCGTAGCTTCTTAACAGTAAAAGGAGTGTAAAGACACCTTTTCATGATGTTATGAGACACCACATAGGAAAGTGACCAGTATAATACTAGGATAGAGGAATTGTTCCATAAATAGCTATATTTCCCCTTACTCCCAACCCTTTCTCTCACTCCAGGGAGATAGTTAATTAATCAGATTTTTCAAAAATGAAACACACATTCTAGGTGCAGATATACCTCTAGTCTTGCTGTGGAGTTTGCTGGGATCTTTAGCATGGCTTTTAGACAACAGATTCTTTCTGGGAAGAAGTTATCTGACTCGGACCAAAGTACCCTCACCACCTCATGCTCCAAGCTGCAGTTACTTTCTGTAAAGGAATTCGTTTCTTCAATTCACCTCCTTGTTCCCCTCCCACCAGAGCTGTGCAGGAGGTGACAGGACAGCGAGGGGTCGTCATCACCCGCTCCACATTTCCCTCTTCTGGACGCTGGGGAGGACACTGGCTGGGAGACAATACAGCTGCGTGGGATCAGCTGGGGAAATCTATCATTGGTGTGTGGGCTCAATCCCAGGGGCCTGTGCTGGCACGGAGGGCACTGGAGTTTGTGCTGTTCGGCAGCACTGGTTATGTCTGTATCATCATCTAGGTGGGTGGTAAAATTAACAAGAACTGAGTTCTCTCTGGGCATGGATTTTAATTTACACCCATCTTTTAATATTTTCATCATGAATGGTCCAGGGCTTTCTAATGGGGTAAGGAAAAATCAGGCCAAGGCTTCACTCTCCTCCCAAAGTTCTCCTTCATCTAACACAGCTGTGTCTTCTCCTTGCAGGCATGATGGAGTTCAGTCTCTTTGGAATACCTTATGTAAGTCACATTCAGACCATTATTAATTGCCCAGTCAGATTTTAGTGAGTCAGCGCCTCATGATATTCCCACCTCATGCTCTCATTGTGCATCTTTTCAGACAGGAGCAGATATCTGTGGGTTCTTTGGAGATGCTGAATATGAGATGTGTGTTCGCTGGATGCAGCTGGGGGCATTTTATCCATTTTCCAGAAACCACAACAACATCAGGACAAGGGTGAGGCAGCAGCTCGTGCTCCATGTGTTGCGTACCCTCAAATCATAACTTCTTTTTAACCCCCAGGAGTATTATACTCATTTCCTGATAAAAATCAGAGAACATCACCAGAATCTTAATTTCTTGGAAAATCCACAGAGTTCAGAACTCTGGAATTATCAGTAATTTTTAGAAATATACCCTTTCTCATCTCCTGGAGAATTAGCACCCACGAGGAAAAGTTTTTATAGTTCCCCATGTGGCTAAAATAAAAGAAGCTCCCTTTGCTTTTAAGAATATTGAATTTGTATTTTACTCAAACTCATCCAAGATATGTTGGTGCTACACAGAAACCTCTCCCTCTACACATGTAGAGGGCCAGAGCTGGACCTATTCCAGGGACTTAGGAATCAGTGATAAAGAAGAGAAAGCAAGAAATTCTAATTTTGTAGGGTGACAGAGAAGGGGGAAAGGGTAGGCCAGGAATGAAGGGATAAGTGGCTTGTAATCTACATATTGAATAAATGCCCATTGATTCTTTTCTGATGCCACTGGGATGGAATGGAGAAAAGGTGATCCACTATATGCTCCTTTATCCCTACAGAGACAAGATCCTGTGGCCTGGAATTCAACCTTTGAGATGTTATCCAGAAAAGTCCTAGAGACCAGATACACCCTGCTTCCTTATCTCTATACTCTGATGCATAAAGCTCACGTTGAGGGCAGCACTGTTGTCCGACCCCTTCTCCATGAGTGAGTACAGTCTCTTTCCCCAAGCAGCAGGTTTAGGCATGTCTTGCAAATAATCCTCTGTAGCAGTCATAAGAGGATAGGTGAATTTTCCCCGTTTATTTTTTAAGGTTTACGGATGACAGGACAACATGGGATATAGACCGTCAGTTCATGTTGGGTCCTGCTATCTTAATCAGCCCTGTGTTGGAAACTGTGAGTTCTTCACTGTAGATCAGAAACCCTTCAATCACATGATCTGAAATCATGGGAAAAGCATTTTAAAGATCATCTGGTTTTGTCCAGCGCACTATTTTCAGGCGAATGCCTTTCTAGAACGTCTACAGGAGATCTTCTTCTTTTTTAAAAGATCTCTCTGTTAATGAAACCTTTACTACACTGACTGATTTCTCATTTTAAAATTTTGTCATATACTTTTTAAAAATACATTTTTTTCTGTAGTTTTGAGGAATAATTTTTCAGGATTTTTCTTAATAAAATCCCTCAAATTATTGCAATCACTAATACAATTTTCATTTTTTGTCTTAATTCTACAGAGTGTTTTGAAAATGAAAATGAAACATTTTTATTGAAATACTCATAATGACATGTCAATTTTATGTTTCAGAGCACATTTGAGATCTCTGCTTATTTTCCGAGAGCCCGTTGGTATGACTATAGCACGGTAAGAACTAATATATTTGTGAAGAACCAGTTTGGTCTGTGCAGCAGGGTGGAGAGGTGGAGAGGTCGATAGAGCCTTCTATTTCCAAGCACATATTTTCTAAGGCAATAATTTTGACCTTTTTAGCCTAGGCTTGTTTAAATGAAAGCATGTATAAGAGCATAGATGAAATCTGAGCACCTATATCTCATTGATGCTCCCCCCTCACCCTTGCCCTTGCCTCTCAACTTTTCTGGAGAAGCAGTCTAGATTTTCAATCTTAAGCAAAAATGAAAGATAGAGATTTTCTCTTTAGGTTTGCAGTCTTTTGCTGACTTTCTAACATGCTTGCCAGGAAAGGAAGGACTTGTAATTAAACATGCTCTCATTTAATATATTTATCGCCCATCATTTTTTGCCTGTATTCTCCTTTCTAGGGAACTAGCAGCCAATCAACAGGTCAGAGGAAAATCCTGAAGGCTCCCCTTGACCACATCAACCTTCATGTCAGAGGAGGCTACATCCTGCCCTGGCAAGAGCCTGCAATGAACACTCACTCCAGGTGAGGAGAAGAGGTGGTGTCTCACAGCCTCTTGCTATACCCTAAGGAGGAAGCCTTACAGGAGGCTGTCCCACCTTCACCAGGCATATGTGGATTAGAAACTAAATTGCCAAACAGCTTTACTGGTCAGATCCTGTGAGTGCTTTCTGAGTGGGACCTGGAAAAAGATGAGTTCATAAAGTTAGTCTTAGGGAGATATATATACACACACACACACACACACACATATATATAAAATACACACACACACACACACACACACACACTTTTTGTCTAGTGCTGTATCAAAGGCAAAAATTTTCCTGAAGGCAGAAAAATGTTTCTCTTTCCACACTATTAAAAAGGAATAGGGAATGTTAATGAGCTCTTTGCCTTGTGATCGAACAAGGACTAGGTAGGATTGAGTCCTTGTCCTATCCAAGGACTTAGTGCTCATTCCTGGGTCTACTTTGGTCAACTGAGGAAAGATATGTTTGTGTGTGTTGTGTGTGTACACACACATATATAAATTACACATATACTATGTAAAAATTTATAAAATCATTGATTAAACAGAACATGTCACATCAAGAAAGGTACATAAAAACATTAACAACTCAAAAGGAGAAAAGTTAACTTTCAGCCTTGTGGTGTAATGCATGGTTTAAATGAAAGAGAGCTTTGAGCTGGATCTTGCATAATGAATGAGATTTGAATGTACAAAGGGGAAAGAGAGATCCTGGTCAGATTAAAGCACTGAAGGTGAAAAATGGGTTGGATTTGGGAACAGTAAACTATCCAGTTTAACTGGAGCACAGGTAAAGGAAGCGATAAAATAAGTAAAACTCCAGCAGGTTAGGATCAGATCCTGGGGGATGGTGAATGGCAAGCCAACTACTTTGCATTTTATTCTGTGGCAACCTGGAAGTTACTGAGGATTCTCTTTTCAGGGATTTTCTTCCTATGAAATTAATATTCATTATATTACTTGTCTGTATATTTGATTTTTGGAATTTGAAGCTAAATCAAATGTTTTATTAAATTTTAAATGTTTTCCATTAACTTTTAGGTGTCCTGTATTTTATCTATTTTACCTGTTTTTAGAACTTTATATGCATATTTAATACATTTCTTTTATTTCTAGATAAGTAATGTTTTAACACAGTCCGTTCTTTATTCTTATAACCTACAATGTAGAGAAAAATAACTCATCTTTTTTTTTTTGGTAGTCGACAGAATTTTATGGGATTGACTGTTGCTTTGGATGACAATGGGAAAGCTGAAGGCCAGGTGTTCTGGGATGATGGACAAAGCATTGGTGAGTATAAACTTTCCAGGGTCCCTGAACATCACTGAGAAAAATCATACCATAGAGGCTCAGTATATAATTAGCATGAACCGAAAACCTCTCTCTGCCTATTGTCAATAAGGCAATAACATTTGGAGAATTTTTCCAACTTTTGCCTGCTCATTTATATTATCCTATAGTTAGTATAGATGGGGTACAGTCCCTACCTTTGTAGGTCCAGGAACTTGCTGTTATGCAATCAGTCAGGGATGATCTATCTCTGTATAACTGTCTCACTCTTGATTTAAAAAAAGTGTGGATGCAAATATCACGCTGATGGTTAATTCATTCTCATGAATTAACATGACTCTATTATTTGGGTCAGCCATCTATACCAGGCACCCTGTTCCTCACAAATAGGCCTGCTCAGGAGGCCATTTAGAGGTTAGAAAATTTCTTGGTGACTCGTAAATTGGGAATTAAGTATTGCTCAAAGGATACTGACATCAATGAAATACTACTTTGTATGCTTCCTTTCCCCACTAGAGGTAGGATATGATAGTTCTACTCTAGATAAGTGAGATTTGTCATTATAATCAGAACACCCTATAACTCCAACTTTTCTATAGAAATATGGACACACTGTTACCAGCTGACTCTCACTTTTCACTACTTATTACTGTGGACCAGAACCTTCTAATCTTGCAACATACCACATTTTCTGAAATTATAGCTTGTTTTTCACTACTAATACTTCTAGAGATTCCTTCTCTTTTAGGTTCCTTCACTATAAAGATAAGAAATTCTCATTAAAGGAGTAGATATTCTTTGTAACACATGTTAAAGATAGAAAATTAGAAAAAAATACAAGCACTTTTAATATTTTTACTGTACTGACTTTGGCTTTTATATTAAGAAAATGCTTAATTTTTAATATGGCTGAAAATGTTCTGCATATTTAATTTGTGAATCCTGTTTATTTTCCTCCAACATAATGACAGAAACATGTGTGAATGTTATTATTTACTTCTTATAAATACCATTATGATGATCATATTCTATTGAGAGGGTATATACAGGATGGTTTTGATTTTCATTGTCATAAATAACATCCTTTCTCTTTCTTTTTCTTTCTTTTTTTTTTTTTGAGTCTCACTCTTTCGTTCAGGCTGCAGTGGCGTGATCTCAGCTCACTGCAACCTCCTCCTCCCTAATTCAAGTGATTCTCCTGGCTCAGCCTCCCAGAGTAGCTGGGATTTCAGGTGTGTGGCACAACACCCACTAATTTTTGTATTTTTAGTAGAGATGGGGTTTCGCCATGTTGGCCAGGCTGGTCTCGAACTCTTGGCCTCAAGCGATTCACCTGCCTCGGCCTCCCAAAGTGCTGAGATTACAGGTGTCAGTCCCCGTTCCCAGCCCATAAATAACATCCTTGAGTGTTAACCATTGTTTCCATTTTAGAATATGTCCATAGAGTAGATTCCTGGAAGTGATATTAGTATCTTTTAATCACCTTTAAAAGAGTTGTGATTTATACAAATAAAATGTATCCATTTTAAGAATACAGTGAAGTTTTGACAAATGTGTACAGTTGTATAGCCACTACCACAATAAAGATGTGAAATATTTTTATAACCCCAAAAGTTCCCCTTTTATAGTCAGCCTGTGAATTCATCCAACTGTGGTTTGAAAATGCAGTTAGCCTACAGTAGTTGCATCTATACTGACCATGTACAGACACATTTTTCTTGTTATTATTTTGTAAACAATACAGAATGCCATGATTTATATAATGTTTACATTGGATCAGGTATTATAAGTACCCTGGAGATTATTTAAAGTACACGGGAGGATGTGTATAAGTTATATGCAAATATTACACCACAAAATAACTTACATTCAAATAATAATGTCAGATTCATTTTAATGGTCAAAAAATGAAACCACTGAAATATTCATCAATAAGTACATTGGTCAATAGTCATGGAATATTACCATGGAAGACACCATGGATTATTATTAGGAATAAAAAGTAATTAATTCCTTTTACATGCAACAGCATGAATGAATGTAAAAAGCATTTTGCTAAGTTAAAGATGCTAAAAATACAAAAAATAGTACATATTGTATGATTCTATTCACATAAAATCTAGAAAATACAAATCTAATTTATAGTGACAGAAAGCAGAACAGTAGCTGCCAGGTCCTGGAAGGAAGGATCAGGAGTGGGGAGAAGCTGGCTAGAAAGAAGTACAGCTGTCCTTGGGTATCCACAGGGAGTTGGTTCCAGGACCCCTGTGGATATCAAATTCCACAGATGCTCAAGTTCCTTATATAAAATGGTAAATTTTTATAATTTCAACTTTTATTTTAGATACAGGAGGTACATGTGCAGAATTGTTACATGGACATATTGTATGATGCTGAGGTTTGGGGTATGGATCACGTCACCCAGGCAGTGAGCATAGTAACTAATGGGTAGTTTTTCAACTCATGCCCCCCTTCCTTGTTACCCACTCTAATAGCCTGCAGTGTCTATTGTTCTTGTCTTTATGTCCATGTGTACTCAGTGTTTAGCTCCCACTTAAAAGTAAGAAAATGCATTATTTGGTTTTCTTTTTCTGTGTTAATTTTCTTAAGGTTGTGACCTCCAGCTACATCCATGCTGCTGCATAGGACATGATTTCATTCTTTTTATGGCTGTGTAGTGTTCCATGGTGTATATGTACCACTTTTTCTTTATCCAATCCTTTGTTGATAGGCACCTGTGTTGATTCCATGTCTTTGCAATTGACTAGTGCTGCGAGGAACATAAGAGGGCATGGGTCCTTTTGGTAGAATGATTTATTTTCCTTTGGGTACATACCAAGTAATGAGATTGCTGGGTTGAATGGTAGTCCTGTTTTAATTTCTTTGATAGATCTCCAGACTACTTTCCTCAGTGGCTAAACTAATTTACATTTCCTCCAACAGTGTTTAAGCATTTCCTTTTCTCTGCAGCCTTGCTAGCATATGTTATTATTTGACTTTTTAATAATAGAGGGTTTGATTTGCATTTCTCTAATGATTGGTGATGATAAGCATTTTTTTTCATGTTTATTTGCCACTTACATGTCTTCTTTAGAGAAATGTCTGTTCATGTCTTTTGGCTGTTTTTCAATGGGGTTATTTGACTTTTGCTTCTTGATTTAAGTTTCTTATAGAATCTGGAGGTTAGACCTTTGTTGGATGCATAGCTTGTGAATACTCTCTCCTATTCTGTAGGTTGTCTACTCTGTTGATAGCTTTTTTCACTGTGAAGAAGCTCTTTAGTTTAATTAAGTTCAACCTGTCAATTTTTGTTTTTGTTGTAATTGCTTTTGGGGACTTAGCCAAAATTTTTTGCTAAGACCAATGTCGAGAAATCAGACAAGACACAAATAAATGGAAAGAAACATTCCATGCTCATGGATTCGAAATCAAAGCAATATACAGATTCAACACTATTCTTATCAAACTAGCAACATCGTTTTTCACAGAATTAGAAAAAAACTATTTGAAAACTCCTATGGAACCAGAAAAAGAGCCCAAATAGCCAAAGCCATCCTAAGCAAAAGAAACAAAGACAGAGGTATCACACTACTCAACATCAAGCTATACTAGAAGGCTACAGTAACCAAAACAGCATGCATAGTACTGTTATAAAAACAGACACATAGCAATAGAACAGTATAGAAAATCCAGAAGTAAAGCCACATAACTACAACCATCTGATGTTTGACAAAGTTGACAAAAACAAGCAGTGGAGAAAGACTCTGTATTCAATAAATGGTGCTGGGACAACTGGCTAGCCATGTGCAGAAGAATGAAACTGAACCCTTACCTTTCACTGTATAAAAAAATTAACTAGAGACGGATTAAAGATTTAAATGTAAGAACTCAAACTATATAAATCCTAGAAGAAAATATTCCTCATGTTCTTCTTTTTCTTTGGTTATTTTAGCTCTTTTGTATTTCACACAGGTTTTTAAATCAACTTATCAATTTTTAACAACAAGACCACCTTCTAGAATTTTGACTGGGATTGCTTTTATTCTTAAGACCAATTTTTGAATATTTGTCATCTCTTTTTTTCCTCTATCTCTTTCTCTCATCTACTTACCTACTTATCTACCTATCTATCTCTATATAATTACCATTTACTTAGATCTTCTTTAATTACTCTTAGCAATGTTTTATAATTTTCGGTGTATGAATCTTGTACGTATTTTGTTAAGTATGTCCTAAGTATTTTAAGTTTTTGATGGTATTTTAAATAATATTTTAAATTTCTCCTAACAGTTTATGGATAATATATTATAATCCTATATTCACCTAATATGATATATGAGAGATATTTTTCAAATGGTTTTATTATCCATTTATGGGTGAAAACTTGCTAAAGAAAACATATGAAGGAATTAAACAACTTCTCTCTTCAAAGCTCAGTTTAGTCTTTGGACTTTCTTTTTAACATAATCTGATAAGAAACTCTAGGAGAGGCATGTGGTATTCTGAAATTAAATAGATCTAGGTTTGAATAGCATCTCAGTAACTTTCTGGTTGTATGTCTTCTGGAAAATTACTTTCATTTTGTTGTCTCCATTTCTTCTTTATTATCTACAACATACACCTATGTTGTCATTTTATGAGGATAAAATGATTTAACATACATAAAACATTCCTGGCACATGAGTTCTGAATAAAATGTGTCATTTATATGTAAAGTAAATAAAACTCTATTCTAAACATTTAATATGAGATACTTTACATTAAAATTAGCATGTCTAACTTACGAAAACAAAATGAAAATAAATAAGTAAATAACATAAAATTAGTGTGGTTAGTAAGATAATAAGACAATAAGGCACCCAAAAGTCAAAAAGAGGAGGTTGACCAGCCATCCTGGATTTCAAAGCTGTGGCAGGACTTGAGCCTTATAGGGGCATAATATACTATAGTGCCAATTTTTAAATTTAAGAACTGTATTTATTAAATGCACTTTAATATTCTTGTCTCTTGGGAAAGTACATTTTTTTTTCTCAAATTAAGCCTTTGTGAAAGATGAACGTTTAATCAAGGGTTTGCTAGGTGGGGAAGGAATGATAATAAAAGGAGTCAGTGCCCATAATGAGACATTCAACACTTTGGTACCTCAGTGACATTCTTGCCAATGGGACTGCAGACTATTTTATGTTGTCAGATCATGACAAGTACTTGGTGTATATCCATTCATCAATTGATGCACATTTGGATTGTTTCCACTTTTTGGCAATTATAAATAATGCTGCTATGAACATCTGAGTGTAAGTTCTTGAATAGACACACTTTTAAAACCTCTCTTGTGTACTATACATACCTGGGAGTGAAATTTCTGGCTTATATGGTAACTCTGTGTTTAACTGTTGATGAAACATCCAGCTGTTTTCTATAGAGGCAGCACCATTTTACATCCCAATCAGCAGTGTATGAGGGTTCTGATTTATCTTCTTCCTTATCAACATTTATTATCTATCTTTTTGATTATAGTCATTCTAGTGGGTGAAAAGCTGTAGTTTATTGTGGTTTTGATTAATTTATATTGCCCTGATAACTAATGTTGTTGAACATCTTTACATGTACCTATTATCCATGTGTACATTTTCTACAGAGAAATGATTTTTCATATGCTTTTCACATTGTAAAATTAAAGTGTCTTTATTATTGAATCATAAACAGTCTTTATAGAATTTAGATAAAAGTCCCTCATCTGATGCATGATTTTCAAATATTTTCTCTCGTTTAGCAGGTGCCTCTTTTGAGGCATAAACTTTTAAATTTTGATGAAGTCTAATTTATCTATTTTTTTCCATTTGTTTAATGTGCTTTTGGTGTTATAACTAAGAAACCATTGCCCATTACAAAGTCCCAAGGATTTGCTACTAGGTTTTCTTCTAAGAGTTTTATAATTTTAGCTCTTACATTTAACTCTTTGGTTCTTTTTGAGTTAATTTTTGTATATGGTGTAAGACAGGGGTCTAACTTCTTTCTTTTGTGTGTGGATTCCAATTTTCCCAGAACCATTTGTGAAAAGACTATTATTTTCTCATTGAATTATTTTGGAATTTTTGTTAAAAATAAATAGACCATTACTGTGAGGATTTATTTCTGAATTTTCAGTTCTATTGTATTAATCTACATGTCTATTCTTATGTCAGCACTGCATTGTCTTGATTACAGTAGATTTGTAGTACGTTTTAAAATCAGGAAGCATGAGTTCTTCAATTTTGTTCATTTTCAAAAATGGGCCTTATTTTAAAGCAGGTTTTCGCAACCTCAGCAATATTGACGTTTTGGGCTAAATAATTATTTTGTGATGGTGGCTGGGCTGATTATTACAGCTGTTTAGCAGCATCTCTGCACTCTCCCCACTTGATGTCAAAAGCAAAGTTATCTTCGAGATAACTACATGATCTCTAAATATTGTAAAATGTCCCCAGAGAGGCAAATTTACTGCTGGTTGAGGATCAATGTTTTAAGAGAACATAGAAAGTCCTTCGATACAGGTTTAACTGATTAGAACTAGATGAGTGATGTCATTGCAGGTTAATAACATCACAATTAGTATGCAAAATCAACCCTCTATGAGCAATATGTTTCGAAAATGTAAACAAATAAAGCCATTTCCTACAAAATTTTAACTTTCTGTTACAGTATATTTTAGTCTTAAGGTTAAAAGTTAATAGTACCTGAAACTTTCAAACTTTTAAATTTTTAAGGAATTTTTATCGCTTTTAAAAATCAGACAGGCTTAAAAATTCAAATTTAAACTACTAAGATACAGTGTAAGTGTAAGTGTAACTTAAATGTTCTGTTAACAGACTTGGAACCATTTATTTAACTTTTCCTCACATAAGGTGATATAATGGCTAGTTCAAGGATAATCTTAAAAAAACATGTTGACAGAATCCTATTCTTTACAAGTTTTTATTAACTGCTAGAAAAGATTGTAGTGTTTGCCCAGGTTACATTTTCTAGCCAAGACTAAATTTTAAAATATGGGTTGTATAATTGCTTCCATAAAAGTGGAGGTAATTTAGAATACTTAGAGAGTGAGTTGGTTTGGAAGAGAATATGTTGGAATACTGACAAGAGTTGGAATGTTGAGAAGGGCCAAGAACAGAACATGAAGTGAAACTGACTTTTAAGAAACAAGGAGTTATAGGAACCATGTGGGAAGAAGATATAAAGGAAGGAGTATTTCAAAGGAGAGGTGTGTGGTCAAAGTGACCTAAAAATCCTGAACAATATTAGGAGATATTTAGATTTTATATACTATGTCACTGGTGACTTAGAAAGGGTCAGATTCCATGGAAAAAGGAAACACAGGAGCTGGAGTTTAGGAGATGTAAGATTGAATTATGAGTTGGGTACACAGACATAACAAGCAAAGGCTACATTTATTTATTCATTTATTTTTATTTGTTTTTATTTTTTGAGATGGAGTCTCGCTCTGTCTCCCAGGCTGGAGTGCAGTGGCACAATCTTGGCTCTCTGCAAGTTCCGCCTCCTGGGTTCATGCCATTCTCCCACATCAGCATCCCGAGTAGCTGGGACTACAGGCGCCCACCACTACACCTGGCTAATTTTGTTTTTGTATTTTTAGTAGAGATGGGGTTTCACCATGTTGGCCGGGATGGTCTTGATCTCCTGACCTCATGATCTGCCTGCCTTGGCCTCTCAAAGTGCTGGGATTACAGGCGTGAGCCACCGTGCCCAACCCAGCAAAGGCTACCTTTTTAAGATGTATGGTAATAAAAAGGAGACGTGGTAGTAGCTTGATATAAATAGAATTAAGTAAAAGTGTTACCAGAACAAAGTACTCTGGAGCATAAATGTAGCTTGAAAAAGCAGAGAAGGTATAGGGAAGAACTGATGGAGTAAATTCTACAGAGGCAGAAGTGCTTGGAATCTGGAGCACTGTGGGAGGATGAGCTAAGGGTAGGGAGAGAAGAATGGTGAAGGTGAAGATTGATTATGATGACTTCGATGACAGTGAGCAATCAATTTTAAGTACTTATTCTGCACAAGAAGAATGTTATGTGCCTTACTGCCATTAAGTGGGTACTATTATCTCCATTCAATAGATAATAAAATGTTAAGTAACTTGTCTGAGGTTGCACAACTATTAAGTACAAGAGTTGGGATTTCAATACATGTCTACCTGACTTGGGAGCCTAAATTCCTAACCACCTGCCTCTGCTTTATCATCATAGTCTTTAACATCATAGCTATGTGAACTCCTATGACTACATGCTTGCTGTCTCGTACAGAATAACCAAACAGTAGTCTCCACACTTCAGCTAATCTAACCTTAGTTCAACCCAGAGTCTCTTGCATTTATAATCTTCTGACCTCCCCAGCAAGGTACCCATTTCTGTTTGCACATCCCCACACTAACATGCAGTGAAATAGTCTCTTAGTCACTATCTTCAGTACTCCTCAGAGAGGTGACAATCATCAGTAACTGTGACCCCACAGAGATATTTTCTGACCATGCTCAAGATTACTTGCTGCAATTGAAGCAGTTAGTAGTTGTTTATTCTTTTCTTTTCCTCGTTTGCAGATACCTATGAAAATGGAAATTATTTTTTGGCAAACTTTATAGCAGCTCAGGTAAGACTAATTTACTACATTTTATAAATCTTTTCCCAGTTGTCTACAGATTAAACATTACAGTCAACTGTGTAAATGTAATATCCCACATCTTAATAGGAGGTTCTTCTTGCCTTTACTTTTATAATCCAGGTCTGTTGTCCTTAAAATAAGGAAGAAACAATCCTTATTTTGACAGTTTTCCAGCATACCATCTCTATGAAAAGAAACTTGGAATTCATACAATGCTGGGGAAAAAATGGGGCCTTAAATGTATAACATGTTTCCCAAAGATGAGAAATTTACTGGCTGATAAATTTTGAAAGGAAAATGCTATATAAGTTGTTAATTATGCAATAATGCATGAAAGACCTCAAAACCTTAGTGGCATCTAACAATAAGCACTTACTTGGCTCATGAGCTTGCAGGGCTCAGAGGATCTGGGCCTGGTTTTGGCTGATCTTTGCCAGCTCACATACATCTCCAGTCAGTCTTGGTTCTATTGGGCTGTTTAGATAATCTTGGCTGTGTATTCACATATCTGGGGAGGTCAGCTGACTCTCATATGGCTTATCATGGCCTTGTGGGAAGGTCTAGGCATGGCTTCTTCATAATTATGGAAGAGGGCTAAAATAAAAAA